TGTGTGTGTGTGTGTGTGTGTGTGTGTGTGTGTGTGTGTGTGTGTGTGTGTGTGTGTAAAAACGAATACAACACAACCTGTGGGTGCAGTGCATATTTGGGCAAAGCTACCATATGCACTCCAGCTGTTCTTCTGATTCTTGTTGTCCTCCGATAAGCCGAAAGGGCACGGCACGGCCCAGGCCTGCACCCTCAGCCTAAACGGCGGGGCCCAGGCCTGCACCTTTCCGCCCAACCAGCCCATGGGGAAGGGCAGGGCTTTCCTGCAATCAGACTCGCTTTCTTTCCACTTCGCATACATACTCGCTTTCTTTCCACTTCGCATACATACAAACAGATGGCGATTCACACTGGCGCACTGCGCCCACTCAAGGCTCAGAGGTATGGAAACCAAGAACACAGTTCAGATGCCAACTCGCCTCAACAGGCTATGGCGCCACAGCGCCTGAACATCCCACTCGTCACTGTGTCCAACACCACTGTTCGCGCATACTCAACTCTGGATCACCCTGAATACTCCACGCACGTTCACTCTGTATCTCACACACACACACACTTACTAAATCTAACACTACAGCGGCTATGGCCACTACTACTACTGACTACGGTTACTATCTCTCTCTTCAGCCCACTTCGACTTCAGGCACTCTGCAGACCACCTCCCACAAGTCGCTCATGCAGGAATGAATGAATGACTGGTCGCTGACTCTTGATTTACACTTCTGTAGCTCGTTGGTCTGCCCCTTCCCCATGCCCTGGGTGCACACAGTCCCACACGGTACTTGCTTGACTGGAACTGACACCGCTGACTGCATGGGGACGCATTGCCAACTCCCCGCAGTCGCACTGCCGATGTACTGCAGTTGGCCTCGCCACTTGCCCACTTGCCTCTGTCTAAACATGAGCAAGCTCCGAAAGGCCACTTCCAGACCTTCCGGAAGTTTGTAGACTTGGCCTTTCGGTGCCGTCGCAGCTACGACCTTGACCTTTCAGGACTATACCAGCTACGACTTTGACCCTCGGAGGAGCTACAGCTACGACTCCTAGGACCTGCTAAGACCTACAAACGACAGGTCTCCAGCTCGAACCCCTACAACCTACGGACCTACGACAGTCTACCAACTACTGTGAATACACAGGTCACGGGTTCAACTCTCGGGGTCGGCACAAATACTGTACACAGGTAAATTGAGAACTAGGGATCAAGCCCTGGGATCTGCACTCGCTACTGCTAACAGGTGAATACCGTTTCACTCCCGCCGGCCTAAATTTTCACTCCCGCCGGCCTAAATTCGAGGTCCTCCGAGAATAATTCAGTCCAGGGCCGGACCTTTACCCTTTCTTTCTCTCTCATAGGCTCTCACTACGTCGGGAGCTGATTCTAGAAGTTCAGTTCTAGTAAACCAGCGGTCATCCTCAGGTTCCTGATAAGCAAATCGGACCTTGTACTGTTTCTGTGGACGACCTCTACCTCCTGTTCTGAATACGTTTTCACCTACAATGCCTTCAATGTCATATCTTCCATCCATGTCCGGAGGGATCATGGATCTTCTAGATGGAAATTGTTGGCTTGTGACGCACGGCAACAACTTGGATGCATGAAACACGGGGTAGGTGTGGAGGTGCGTTGGGATCTCTACTGTGTAGGACGGCCCATCCTCCGAGTCTCCGCCCTTAACTTCTAGGACTGGCCACGGTCCTCTGTATGCAGGCAGTAACTTCTGCGAGATGTTTTCCTCAGGAGCAAACTCTTTGGACTTGACCCAGACCAGGTCGCCTACTTGAAACTGTGACGGGCAACGGTGCTTGTTAGCCTGTTCTATCATTCGGTGTTCGGCCTTCCTGAGGTTCTCTACAACGGTAGTTAACTCCTTCTCGTGCTGTATCGCAAACTCTCTAGTACCGGGTGGTAGCATGTGAATCTGGTCCCGGTTAAGTCCTTCAAACGGTCTGCGCGGTCTAAAGGATTTGTGTAGCTCATTGGGAGTTCGGCACGTGGCTAAGTGCATGCTGTTATTATAAGCACTGGCTACCTTGGGCAACATCTCATCCCAATTGACTTGATCGGGTCTAATGTATATACGTAAAACTTGTTGCAAGATCTTATTCATATGTTCGGTCTGACCGTCAGTCTCTGGGTGCCGGCCAGACGACATTAGCAACTTTGATCCATAGACTTTCATCAGTTCCTGCCAGTTCTGACTAGTGAACCGGGTATCTCTATCACTAACTATAGACAGCGGAATCCCGTGATCACTCACCCAATGGTAAAAAAACTTCTGGATTACTAAATCCGTACGCGCCTCGGTAGGCGAAGGAACAAAGACAACGCATTTACTAAACCTATCGACTATAACCATGACTTGGCTCTTGCCATGCCTACTCTTGACGCCAGCATCGATGAAATCGATGGACATTGAGTCTCCTGGCTGGTCAGGAATAGGCAAGGGCCTGAGAAGACCTAGAGGGGCACGCATAGTAGTCTTGTTTCTTTGGCAGACTTTGCAACTGCAGACGTACTCTATGCAGTCGGTCTTCATTCCTGGCGAAGTATACGCCTGCATCAGGTTGGCGAGAGTCTTTTGCCAACCGAAATGTCCCTCCGTATCATGACATTCCCCTAGGATCAGACTGCGGATCTCCTCATTGTTGGGAACGCACAGACGGTCTACTATGTTGGTCTTCTCGAACAATAGTCCCTCTATAGTGCGGTAATCTGGTTCGGTCTCTGGGACCTCCTTAACTCTCTTGAGGAAGTCACTATAAATAGGATCCTGCGTGTATGTCTGTCTTACTTTCTCTTGCAGGTCACTCCCTATACCCAGATAATGAACTATAGCTCCAACGTAGTGTGATCTCCTACTTAGAGCATCTGCAACTACATTATGCTTGCCCTTGACTGGTTTGAGTTGAAAGTCATACTGGTCTATTTCAGCGGCCCACCTAGTCATCTTGGCCTGCGTCTTCAACCACCTAAGAGTCCCGTGGTCTGAATATACTTTGAAGTGCCTCCCAAGCAGGTAGTGCTTCCAGTGCTCTAAAGCCCGCCTGAGAGCGTAAAGTTCTCTCTCATACGTCGAGGTAGCTACCTTCTCTGAGGGCATCCTCGCTGGCATGAACTCTACGGGTCTATAGCCATTGTCGCCGTCTTGCTGCAACACGGCGCCTATACCATACTGACTCACGTCCGTGGTGACGACAAATGGCAAGGACG